ACATTGTATCACAAAGCATTAATGCTGGTGAGTGGTGACCTGGTCTCCAGGCCGTCTCCTGGTAACGGACTTCTTTTTAATGTAGTATCAGCGATACATTTTAAAAGTAGGATAGATGGTTCATTTAAGAGGGTTTTATCATCAGTGTCTCTGGAATTCAAGTGAAATAAATTAAGTTAATGGGAAGCTCTTTTATAGCCTGTCATGGAAAAAAGTACATAATTTCTGTCACAATTTGCATGTATGGAGCTGAGAGAACAAACGATTAACAACATTTATTCTGTCATGTTCTCGTAAAGTTCCAGCTAATAGGGTATAGCAAATTGAACTTGACATGAGATGATAGTGGCTGAGAAATACAGACTTTTGGGCATGAGTTGGGGGCAGCACCATGCAGATGCTGAGGCCCAGGAGCCTTCCTGAAGTTTCAGGAAGGCTGGGTGCCACCTGACCTCCTCACTCTTGCTCGCTGATCGGGGAGCCCACAGGAAAGGAGAGCTGGTAGGTGGCAAACACCTTGTTTTCCACCTGCTGCTGTAGGCAGAAGGAGAGTTGCTGCAGAGAGGGAGGGGCCGAGCACCCGTCTCACACCCTGCGCTTCCTGAAGGTTACCAGTGGCCACCGTCTTCACTCACAGTTGGAAGTTTTCTCCTTGCCAGCCTTAAGGGTGCACTGGGCTTCTGTGCTTCTATGTTATGAGTCCCTGCCCTTTACAAGAGGGTATTTGACCGCCCCCTCTGCTGTCTCCAGTGCTCCTGTAAGGTGGGTTAGTTGCCACCAGGACCCACTTTGTGTGCTCGGAGGTCTCCGTGTAAGTTCTGTCTTCTTGAGGTCCTTCTAACTCTGCTCATGGCGACTTGGCAGGCTGTGCGCTTTAGGCCTGGAGTTGGGCTGATGACATCTGTGAGTTCTGAGGGTGGCAGGGCTATCAGACGGTGACACCTGTAGAGGGGAGCACGCTGCGGCAAGGTGGTTTGGTTAGCCGAGCACAGGGTGCCCCAGTCTCCTCCTCCCAGGGACAGGTGTGTGTGCAGGTGTGCACACGGGGCTCGAAACTTGGTGTGTGTGAACTGCTTTCTCTTTTGAATGGCACATTCTCCCAAGAGGGGACTGTAGGAAGCCACCAGTGCCTTCCCTTGAATTAGCAACCAGATAATTTTCCTCCTGGAGGGGCCTGAGAGGCACCCTGATGTAGAATAATGGTACTCAGACCTTCTGGTCTCAGGGCCCCTTTTGTATGTGCTTAGAAATTAAAGACTAAAAAAGTTTTTTTTTTGTTTGTTTGTGGGTTGAATCAATATTTGTCGTATTGCAAATTAAACTGAGAAATTTAAAAAGTATTAATTCTTTCATAACAACTTTAATAAATACAATTCACACATTTTTAGTGAAAGATAACTTTTCAAAAAATTATGGCATCATTTGATACGTTTTGCAAATTTCCTCAATTTCTGACTTGATAGAAGACAGGCTGGATTCTCTCAGTTGCTTTTGCATTTCGGTCTGTCACAGTATGTTGTTTCAGTGAATGTATATAAAGTAAAACCACCTTTACCACTGATATGTATTGTAATTGTAGGTATTCTTCTTTGATACTATGCTGGAACTTGCCGAGCAACACTTTTCTTCAAGTTCATCAGTACAGTGTAGACTGACACCATGCCAATAAACCATTTGAACTTTGTTTCACCAAGATGCATTGGTTTCACTCGCACTTGATAGCTTTGATAGTATTATGCCAGCTGAGTTACACAGACCTTCCAGCTGTCGCCACATTGCATTATCCAGTATCAAAAAACGTACATTTGTTAACTCTCCTTACTGATCTCACTGGGGAAACTGTGAAGCTCATGGTAGCAGAGAGAGGTTTCCCAAGATTCTAAGTTTTTTTGAAAGCCTGGATTTTGTCACCGACAACAGCTACAAGTTGTTTTCCTTACGGTGACCGGGTCACTTCATTCATTTTTAGGAAAATATCTGCCATATACCCAGGTGTGAATGACCATGGTTTTTCTGTCAGTGGTTCCATGAGAAAGTATCCAGTTTAGCTCACAGCCCGGAATGGTTACACAAGTGCTTTTCCCAGGGCAGCAGAGATGCCACACTGCACGTGAGTGGCAGTGCTTGCCATCCGCTCGGGCACCAGCAGGTTCACCCACTGTTGCTTTTGTGCCCACCGTTACTGGGGGTAGCAGTGCAGTGGAAAAGACATGTGATGTCTTGGTATCATCAGGACCAGCTTTGACTTTGTGGACCACATGACGTGGGGATGGAGGTGTCTCAGGGTCTGCGAGTAATGCTTGGAGGACTTGTGCTGTGGACACAGAACCAGTGTGGAGTACTGGTCCATCAGTTAATACTGGCCATGCGGCCCAAGCAAGACTGCTTAGCCCTTCTAAGCCCTGTCTTCTCATCTAGAAAAGGAAGACGTGGCCATCTTTATGATCGTTGTGAAGACTGGTGGAAGAACTAAGGAAAATATGCCTTCTTTGGTGCCTGGTCCATACTACATGCCAGTAAAAGTGGTTTTCCTTTTTCTCTTGGGACATTGTGAAGGCACTGGAGACAGGAGCATGGTGCGAGATGGAGAGATGAAAAGGAAGGGTCAGTTTACTGTAGGATGGGCCTGCAACCCACACGCCCTTCTTCCTGGCTTGCAGCTCCTGGAGGAAAGGGGAAAAGAGTGGGAGGAAACAACTCTTTATGTGGGGTTGTCTTAGGGTCTCTGGATGCAACCGTTCTTTGTGTGTGACCCAGTGTCATTAAGCTAAAGAGCCAACTTCTCTGAGAATTAGCAGTGTCTTCTGATGGCTCTCATCTCCTGGGCATCTTTACAGATAATCCTGGCTCAGCCTTAGAGGCCTCCACAGTGGAGGACTGGAAGTCATTCACAGCTGGGAAAGCAGAGCCTCAGGGACGAGGCAGTGTTTCTGCTAGACCTGTGCCCTACTGAAATCTAAGTGCAGTCTAAGACTAAGTTCTTTCACATTCTGAAAAAATACTAGAGTGTGATTTTGTCACAGCCAGGTGAGATATGAAATTCTCAAAACCTAATTCACTTTAATTTTTTTAAATGAACATTAATCTGATAGTAGTTGGAAGACTCTGACCCAGCTCCAGTAAAGCTAACATTCCCTGTCCAGGCAGGATCACAGTGCATGTGAAGACAGTGGCTTCTTTATCACATACATCTTCCTTACTGCAGTCTTAGAGGTGGAAAAAATGCAATGGAAATTCAGCTTTCAGAATAAAAGTCTGTGGTGTTGACCTGCCACTCAGGCCATTTGTCCCTGGGGTTAAATATCAAGCCCCAGTATGTAGCAGTGCTCCAAGAGAGCTCCTGCTAGCTCAGCGATGCCAGCAGCAGACTTGTCTCCATTTCAGGTCCCAGGCCACCAGCAAGGACTACTTTTCCAGGATAGAGCCATGCCTTTACACCTGCAAGAATAAAATTTCAAGTGGAGTGATCCTGTCCCTGTTTTAAATGACTTTGTGTTCTCTCTGCTGATGATTTCACTTTGAATATCAGATCCTCAGATTGAACATATTTATTTTATTGATAGACTTTCTCTGTCCCCAAGAGAGAAAGGACCCGTGCACCTTCATGACAGAAAGGGATGTTTGTGTTCCTCCTCCTTGTCACGCGTAATATCCGTGATGGGGGATCTGGGGTTGTGACCCCACCTCGTGTCAGTATCCAGTGTGGATCCAGGAGGGGTGCTGAACTGCATGTTTTGCTGCTTACCAGCGTGGTGACCTTGAGCAGGTCCCTCACCTTGTCGGGTCCTGGATTCCTTTATAAACCAGGCTTAGGGCAGGGCCAGTTGTCTGCTGCAGGGGTGGATGACTGTGAGGCTTTAAGGACCCAGGAAGTTCTCAGTGGGCTCAAAGGCAGGAGAACACTGGTGAGTGGCCAGCACAGGAGGTGCTGGTGGGGATGGACAGAGATCCAGCCCTCTTGTGGCCCTGAACTTTTGGCCCTCCAATCAGACCACTCCGTCATGGTATTGGGCAAGTTAGCTATGACTTTTCTGTGCTTCAGTTTTTCCATCTGGAGGTAAGCATCAGAATACCTTCTGCAGCACTCCCTGCCTCTGAAGGATTAACTGAAGTGATGGTAAAGCTGAAGGGCAGAGCCCAGCTTCTGCCCCGGAGGACTCTCAGTCCCAGGGAGCTCTTCTCTCATCAGGGCTACAGCAGGCTTTCCCTGTGTGTGAACAAGTTAGGTGTCAGGGAGCTCAACTAGATGTGTGGTTTCTCAAAGCCTTGTAGGAAGCCTCGTGTTTTAAAGCAGCCGTCATTCAGCGGGGTGGGGTGGTAGGTCCTGGGGAGGCTGGCCAGAATAGGACAGCCCCTCCTTCAGTGGGTGTGCTTGGTCCGGGGAGCCTACAAGGGAGAGTCCTCTGGGTTCTTGAGAGAAAGGTTGTGAAAGCTGGTGGGGTCTTCTCCATGATGTGAGGGTGCGGGTTGTGAGAATTCTCTAACATCTTGGCAAAATTGTGTTTGAAGTGTGACCATGACAGTCTTGACATGGAGAATAGCACAGAGAGAAGCCTGAACCGCTCCTCAGATGTCGTGGGCTGTCCTCAGTTCCTGAGGAGATCATTGGCGGGTGCCTTCCTGAGCAGAACAGGCACAGCTGTCTGTGTCTGGTTGACCTGGATAGAAGGCCTGTGGCAGGAGTTTGGTCAGGTGTGCCGTGGTGGCAGATCAGGGGCTGCGAGTCTGAAGACCTGGGTCCTAAGCCCTGGTCCTGGCTCTGCCACTGCCTGCTGTTTGACCTCAGGCAAGTCCCTTCATGTCCCTGACCTCAGGTCTGAGACCCACAGGGTGGGGAAGAGGCTGTTCATCTCAGACTGCTCACTTCACCAGGGGCTTCACGAGGCTCAGAGAAGAGCATCCTGGTGAACTGCTTTACCACCAAAGTGCAAGTATTAACGTAACAAATGGCTGTTGGTAACCAAGCTCTGACCCTCCTAATGAAATATTTTCTTTCTCAGTGATGTTACAGCCTTTCGATTATGATCCCAATGAGAAAAGTAAACACAAGTTTATGGTTCAGTCTATGTTTGCTCCAACTGACACTTCTGATATGGAAGCAGTAGTAAGTACTGAATGCTTTTTTTTTCCCCCCAGTAATTAAAAAAAAAAAAATGAATAGGTGCAGAATTGTGGGTGCATGCATTTCAAAATATGTCCGAATTGTTTTTAAGGGGAATGGTGCTTTTCAGGAGGTTTGTACTTTGACTGCCTTTATGGGTTTCTAGAACTTTGATTTTAACATTTTACGTAACTTTTAGAACACTCTTCTGACTTTTCTACTTGGTTTCCTTCAGCAGTCCCTTGTTTTGGTGGGTTGTGTCTTGAATGGTCAGAGGGTTCTCTCCCTTCACCCCTTTCCCTCCTGCTACAGAAAAGGGCAGTTTTTACTCTAGAAAACGCTTTCTGCCTCTTCTTGCCCATCCCCCAGAATCTTGAGGGATGGGGGAGAGTTGAATGCTAAATATCCTTCAACCCTTTAATTTTTTTACCCCTGCTTGGTTCTAGTAAGTGCGATTCTTTGTTTTTTTGTTGTTGTATCGGTCCCCCCCCCCCGATTCCTTCAGTTTTTCTACCCCCCTCCCCTTAAATACATGTTCAATTCCATCTTTTAATTTTGGTAAAAATAAGTTGACTTCATTTTCATAAAATAAGTAATTGATACATTATAGTTGGCCCCCGTTTCTCTGGGTTCTGCTCTGTGGATGTGAAGTGCCAGCAGCAGCTGCATCTTATATGAAGGACTTGAGTGCCCACGGATTTTGGTAGCCATGGGGACAGAGCCCCACATCCAGTCCCCTGTATTGATTTCTCTGGAAGATGATTATAATGACAGCTCTACCCCCAGCTTTTTGCACGCGTGAATGAATCAGCACGCATCCTGGTGCTGTGAGTGAGAGTGACAGAACACTGATAGACCCCTAATATCCACTACAGCAGGGAGGACAGACTGTCTAGTCCTCACAGTTTGGAAAAGAAGGGCAAGACTGCCTCAACATTTTCACAGCTTTCCAGATCACCAGCTGAAACTTAGAGACTGGAGTCGTCCAAGGAATGCCTTCAAATTCGAGTTAGCTAGGATTCACACTATGTTATTTTTTTCTCTTTCGAAGTTTTATTTGAAGTACTGTTTCACGCACATCCTACCTTTAGGCCCCCGTGTGACCACACAGCCATTTCTCTCAGTCTTAGAAAAGCACAGCTGACCACCTTCATGCTTATGTAACTCCTGGGCAGGAAGTGAAGGGTAAACTAGACATTTGAGGTTTCAGAGAGACCAGCGACGACGTTAGGCTTTGTGTTAACATTCCTTCTCACGGAAATAATTACTGATACGTTCACTACTTTCACTTCCTGGAACATGGTGTGTCTCTTCATGTTACTTTGTATGATCAAAAAAATGTATGGCAAAGGCACAACGTGGACTCTCCAAGAATCTGTTCTGTTTGGCTTTGCTGCATGGCTTGGTGAAAGAGCATGGCCTTGGGTGTCTTGGGTGTGAGGCTGACTCTGCCTTTTACTAACATTGTGGCCTTGGGCAGTTTTCATTAACTCTCTTGAGGGTTTGGTCATGTGTAAAATGGGGAAAAAAACCTAGTCCCCAGGGCTGCTGTGGGATTAAATGTGCTGTGTGTAGAGCATGTAGCAGAGTATCTGGCAGCTGTCTTATCTGAGTGCTGCTATAGGCCAGGCCTCAGGGTACAATAAAAGTGAGTTTTACTTTCTTTCCTGATAATGTTCATAACAATTAAAAAATTAAATGTACTTTGTTGGAAATCTGGGATATATACAAACAAGCAAAAATAAAACTATGTGACCTATAGTTTGTTTATACTAGACCCAACCACTGTTAGTGAGAGCCTATTATTTCTTTACTTTAAAATATTATTATACATATTTTTGATGTACTGAAAGTTGAAAAAACAGTAGTGCCTACTCTTCTAACCTTTACTAAGATTCACCTTTTAACAGTTTGCCATGTTTGCTTCTTTTCTGTCATAAACTTTCTTTTTTGCTGAGTTCCCTGACTGTAAGATGCACTGTTCATGAAACTTCACCATCCCTGAATGCATTGTAACAAGGGCAGGCTCTTTCATAGGCTCAGTCCTGTTAAGTAGCTTGTCACTCATGGCTAAGAGGCTTAACATTAATTCAGTAATGTGTTTAAGAGAGAAACCCATATTAGCCTTTCCCAGTTGTTCAAGAAATGGCCTTTTGTTGTTCTTTTACTAGTGCATATTCATCCTGTTTACAGTCCAGAACAGGTGCCTTGTAGAATGTCCCATATTCTGGATTTATCTAATTATTCCCTCATGACTAAATTCAGGTTTGGTATTTTTGGTTTTTTGCAAGGCAGTGTCCTGTGTGCATTATACCCCTCTTCGGTGACACCAGTTCTGATTACTTGGTTAGGGTGGTGACTGCCAGCTCTGTCCAGTGCAGAGCACGTTTGCCCCTGTGGTTAGGGGATGGGTGATCTGTGATACTCAGAGCAGTCAGATCCTCGAAGACCACTGAACTTCCTGCCTGCCAGCAGTCTTTCACTCTGTGATTTTTAGCACGCTGAGATGATCTTTGCCTGAAGTTCTTATGATACACGCACACAGGCACATATATCTGTGCGTGCACGTGTGTGTGTATACAGAGGAGCAGACTTAAAATACTGCTTGCTGTTTCTTCATTTATATTCTGTGAATTTTCCCCATGTAGTTAAATACTCTTCGGTATCCCTTGAATGGTGTGCTGTTCCATGACTGTGCCCACCACGGCTTACTTGGTGTTCCTGTTTTGCTTGACACAGAGATTATTTCCCGTTTTTGACTTATGGTACCTGTTGCTCTCTCTGCCTCCTGCATGGTTCTGGGGTCAGGGTGGGGGAATTTGTTCCTTCTGCTGTATCACCTTCTTGCTGTGCAGGTTTACTCTATAATTCTCTGAACACCTGGGATTCCTGTTCTTCTCTGCCAAAACGAGGAGCAGTAAGCCAGGAGTGCCTCCTCCCAGAACATGGGTTTAGTCAGGAACATGTTCCTACCAGCAGGCTGAGGGAGTGGAGGTCAGCCCAGACAGTAGGGGTCACAGAGAGTGGCCTTCCTGTTCCCGTGCCCTGCTGGTAGTTAGCAGTGTTCTAAAACCACCGCCAAGTAGTATGGGCTTCCACTTAGAAAGACACGCCCTGCGAAGTAAGCTGTGTTTTCTTAAGGAGAGCCCAGATGTCCTTAGGCCGCCCAGATGCAGGCTGGAGGCTCCTCTGGGCCCAGTGGCCGTCCACTCTGTCCTGTGTGCTTTTCACAGCCTGGTGATAGGGCGCGCTAGTGGACGTGGAGGAGTCGGGCAGCACGGCTGGGGCTGGTGAAGAAGAATCAATATTCAGGGGAGCTGGTGTGTTTAATCTTGTCACGTTAAAAATATTGAAATCTCAGCAGACTTAAGTTCTTTATATGATGTACATCAGGGCTTTCTCATTAAGCGTATTTTTCTGAAATTGTCAGTTATAGGAAGAAAATCATTCTTCTAGCAGCTTTATAATATTCTGATTATTGAATTTAAATTGTTTTAGTGGAAGGAGGCAAAACCGGAAGACCTTATGGATTCAAAACTTAGATGTGTGTTTGAATTGCCAGCAGAAAATGATAAACCAGTAAGTATGTTTATAGTTAACAATAATTGAATGTTGCAAGCTGATACTTATTTGCATACCATCTCCTGCAAAACCAAGATTTAAGTTGGCAAATTATTTTCCTTCTTCTGATGTATGAAGAGAAAAATGAGCTGAAGTCAACAAATAAGTGGGCCTTTATGAAATCTGCCTTTGAAAGATTCACAGAAAGAACTCATTGAAACTTTTTTTTTTTTTGCCTTTGAAAAGCACAACCTGTTGACTGTTGAAATGTCATAAATTCCGAAGAGCTTCTTTGACTTGGGCAAAGTTCTAGGTTGCTGTTATATTTAACAGTGGGAAAGACAAAAACAGAATAATTTGCCATTTATCCTGGTGCTTGATGGACAGGCGGTGATGAGCGCTCAGCTCCCCTTGTACAGAGTACTGTCTGCAGGCTTCCCTCACTGCATTTCTCCTGAGCACCAACTCTCTACCTCTTGAACCCCAGATTCTCTTCAGTCAAAATGTGCTTTTAGATGAGAATTTCTCACCCTCAGCACTGCTAACTTTGGGGCCAGGAGTGCTTCACTGTGTGGCTGTCCTGTGCTTTGCAGGGTGTGCTGCGGCACCCTTGATCTCACCCCAGTAGCTTCCCATGTCGTGATGACTAGAAGCGTCTCCGGATATTGCCCCGTATGCCCTTCCCAAGGCAGAGTCAGTTCCCGTTGAGAATCACCCCCTTCGCTGCCTGAGCACTGAGGATAAGGAGTGACTCCCTCCCAGCTGCCGGCTCACTTTTCTCTATGTGAAACCAAAGCGTGAGCCTGGTTGGCATGGACCTCCCTTCACCCTAGTCAAAAAACTTAAACTGTGTTAACACAGTTTAAAATCCATGAAGAATATTATACCACCCTGGTTGTTAATAGCTGGTGGTGGGAATAGAAATGTTCAAGCTCTCAACATTACCCATAACGATCTCCAGGAATGCTGAAGCTTTGTGACAAAACTACTTAGCATTTTTTTTGGCTCGCTAATTGACCACCGTCACTATCCCATTTCTTTGAATGAGTGGTGGTCGTCTTCCCTTTTTTCCCTTCCCTCTTCCCACGGCACATTCTGTCAGTTGTGGATAGTTGACTGTATTCTGGCTCCAGCTGTGTGCTCAGAGGTTAGCTCTGTGTGTTGAGGTCTTGCCTTCCAGGGCCTCACTCCTCTGCCCTGGGAGACTAAGGGTAGAGCTCGCTGTTCTCCGTTTGCTGCGTGGCACCCCCGAGGGCTTCCATGCCTCCCCTGTCCCCACTTACACACTCATCCCCAGTGGGTCTCCAGAGGGGGTCACAGCGCAGTTGTGGCTGGGGAAGTGAGGAACACATTGCCTCCCCAGGCTGAAATAAGCACAAACGCTGAGTTTGTTGCACCTTCATCCCATCTCTGCAGTTGTCTAAGTTCAGGAGACAAACCATCCTCTGGGTCACGTCCCCTCTGGCCTTCTCCCCCCCACCCAGCCAGTCTGGGGGATGTTCAGATTTTTGTAGTGACAGTAATTTGTGGCTCATAATTCCTGAGCTTGCACAGTTACGCTCTGCTAATTTTTCATGGCAGGAATTTGATAGTGCAGTGCACACAGTCCCTTTTCTCTTTCTTTGAAGTGTTAGTCTCAGCCAGGCTTCATTATTTGCCCTCATCCATAATTTCTGGAGCCCAGTTTTAGATTATGAAGATACTGGAGGATAAAGTGATCTGTTTTAAAAGTAAACGGGACATTGTACAGTGTGGATGAAACGCTACCCTGGGTGGTGTCTGCTGAGAACTACTTTACTTTGCATGAAGAAGTCCTTTAATACGTGGTTGGTGACACTTGGGCTTTCATTTATTTCTGAACAGCATGATGTAGAAATAAATAAAATTATACCCACAACTGCATCAAAGACAGAAACACCAACGGTGTCTAAAGCTCTGAGTTCCTCCTTGGATGACACTGAAGTTAAGAAGGTGATGGAAGAGTGTAAGAGGCTGCAGAGTGAAGTCCAGAGGCTGCGGGAGGAGAACAAGCAGTTCAAGGTAATGGCATTTTGTTTCCTGATTGTGTCCAGGGAATGGGAGCTTTGCTACTATGGTCTTGGGTGAGGAGGTTGATGAAACACCGAATTTGTGGAGTTGTCTTGTATTTGTACGTTTTTCCTCTAGGCTGAAGTTTCTATACCTTTCCTAAGGTTCTCAAAGCAGTCCTTGGACACACGCCCACGTGCATCCCAAATTAAGAACCAGTGTCCCTTGAGCAGTAGTTTTTCAACTATTTAAATTCTTGTCCCCTCATAAAAAGACAGCAGACAAATAAACAAAAAATCCATTAGTGTAAATTGAAATAAAAAAAAAAAACAGTGGTTATCTTGAATTCACATTTTCAAGCCCCTGTTCCATCCCCATTGGATGAGAATCTTTTTGAAGAGAGTAAAGACTGACCTGTATTCTGTTTTAAGGCAATCATCATTCTGATTTTTGAGTATCCTAAATAGATCCAGCAGTAGGGTCTCATCCTCTATCAGTATGGTCAGGAGACTGGAGCTGAGGTGCTGTCACATCCATGGGGGAGATTACAGGGAACCAGGGGCAGTAGGGTCTCTTGTTGCAGTCAGCTTGGTCAGGAGACTGGAGCTGGGGTGCTGTCACATCCATGGGGGAGATTACAGGGAACCAGGGGCAGTAGGGTCTCTTGTTGCAGTCAGCTTGGTCAGGAGACTGGAGCTGAGGTGCTGTCACATCCATGGGGGAGATTACAGGGAACCAGGGGCAGTAGGGTCTCTTGTTGCAGTCAGCTTGGTCAGGAGACTGGAGCTGGGGTGCTGTCACATCCATGGGGGAGATTACAGGGAACCAGGGGCAGTAGGGTCTCTTGTTGCAGTCAGCTTGGTCAGGAGACTGGAGCTGGGATGCTGTCACATCCATGGGGGAGATTACAGGGAACCAGGGGCAGTAGGGTCTCTTGGTGCAGTCAGTTTGGTCAGGAGACTGGAGCTGGGATGCTGTCACATCCATGGGAGAGATTACAGGGAACCAGGGGCAGTAGGATCTCTTGCTGCAGTCAGCTTGGTCAGGAGACTGGAGCTGGGATGCTATCACATCCATGGGAGAGATTACAGGGAACCGGGGGCTCCAGCAAGTGGCCCTGGCTTCAGAGGGTGGCCCTGGCATTGGGGGGTGAGGTTGCACTGGTGCTGGAGCGAGGCAGGTGTGCTACTCTTGGCTTTGGGGACCTGCGGTAGTGTGGAAATGACCAGCGAAACTTGGACTCGCTGTGTATCTTTGTCCATCACAGTGGCTTCTGGCCTCTGTTTGCAATACCCTGTTAAGGCCCCTTCCAGTGTTGAAAGTATGTCTTTCATACACAGTATTAAAGAGAGTGTTTCTGAACATCTAATTGTAGGATCTTTTGTTGCAGCTTGAGTCTTGAGGCCGATCTGTTCTTTTCATCGTGATCATGTCCCCAACCACCATAGACTGTCACTCTGACTGCATAGCGCCAGGTACACACCATAAGTTCTCTGCAGGTGATCTTCCTTCTCTTACTTTGATGAGGTGGGAGACACGGGGGCCAGCGGAGTTTAGGAAATGGCATCCTCGTCTTTCTCTGCAGTAATCGTGATTTGCCTCTTTCAGTGACTGCTGTTAGTATGGAGTAAATTATGAAGTTGACACTCTACTTGTGGCTAAAAGTCTAAGATACGCCTAAAGCTTCTTCTTGAATGTATTTCTCTTCTGTGCCATTTAAAGTGATAAATAGGTAGAAATAGCTTCTATATAAACCCAATAAAATAAATGCTGTGTTTTGCTGTGCCCATTTTTTTTTAAGTTAATCAAATACCACCAGTCATTTATCAGCATGCAGCAATATTGGCCATGCCCCATGAGCAAAGTGTCTTTAAAGTATTATAAGACCAGTCTTGACATTAGAAGATTCTTTATCTTGCCAGACAATGATTTCGTGTTTTGTGTTGTTTCATACTTTCATTTGGCCACACATTTCCTAAGACCCTCCCATGTGCCCAGCACTGTGGGATACAGACATGGGTGGTCCCTGCCCTTATGATAAGCCCCAGAGTAGCCGGGGAGACACAGCCACAAATACTGATAACCAGTCCCACAGAGGTGGCTGTGAGTGTTGTGGGGTGTGGGTTCAAGGGGCTGGCTGCCTGTTGTCAGATCTGTCAGATACTTGATGAGTGTGAACGAACTGAAGGAGAGGAAAAGAAGGTGCAGCTGTTGTAGAGGGTGTCAGGGATGGATTGAGGGTAATTAGAATAGGAAGGCCTTGATGCGTTCCCTGTTTGGGATTGTGAAGAAAGGAAAAGTGTCAATTCTCACAAGTCTGTGTAGGTGGGGAAAATGTAGCCAAGTTATCTTCATGTGTATGAAAAAGATTGTTTCTTCTTTGGTAGAAATTCCATGCATTAAGTAGAAAATATTTGAGACGTGTATATCAAGTTCAGTTATACTTTGATATTACAGACATCCCATTTTTGGTCCAGCAGTTTCCATGTAACTCACCAAGTATCAACCATGGACAGAGCTCTACATTTAAAAGCATCCAGGTCCCCTGCTTGGTCATTTCTTGGGATTCTTTTTTCTGAAGAACTTTTTTCTATAAATCCCAGAGAACCACATTAGTGCCCTGCTTAGACAAAGGGGCCGGCAGCACTGTGGTGGATGCATGGAAGAAGAGGGACCTCAAGCCAGTCTCTTCTTTGTAGGCCATTTCTCCCATTTGCAAAATGAGGAGGTTGGGACCATATCGTGTGATGGAGTCTGGGCATAACACCCTGCCCACCCCCACCCCCTGCCAAACCTCTGCTAAGCTGTACAGCTGCCTTCCGCTGGCGCTGGTGGCTTGGACTATCTTTGAAACGTGTGTTTGTTCCCCTAGGAGGAAGACGGACTTCGGATGAGGAAGACAGTGCAGAGCAACAGCCCCACTCCCGCGTCAGCCGCGGCTGGGAAGGAGGAGGGCCTGAGCACCCGGCTGCTGGCGCTCGTCGTCCTCTTCTTCATCGTTGGCGTGATCATAGGGAAGATCGCCTTGTAGAGGCAGCATGCGAGACGGGGATTGGATTGATGGGTCCGCCATAGTGTGGGATTTAAATTTATCATAACCATGTGTAAAGAGAAATTAATGTATGATGACATCTCACAGGTCTTGCCTTTAAATTACCCCTCCCTGCGTGTGTGCACCCATGTGCACACGTGCACACACACACACAAATAGAACATAATATAACAATCTTTTAGAAAGTTTAAAACGCATAGTAAACGATTGGGGCGAAGAGTGAACCTTATTAATGACAAGGGAAACCATGATTAAATGGTAATGGCATGTTGTGAATGTCATTTTAAGCATCCATAGCCTTGGTCCACGTTGCTGGAATTCCTCTCTGCAAACATGACACTCTTCCCTGTCTGTTGGTGCTGGCCTCTGGGAAGCTGGAGCCCACCCTGTCGATGTCCTTGCCCGTGCCGCTCACTCGCTGCGGGCAGCCTCTCCATGCCCACCCCGGCCATCAGTTCCTGGGGACTGATGCACAGGGCCTAAAGGCACCAGGAGCGGAGCTGTGGCCGCGTCGGCTGTGCTCATCAGCGGTGGGGAGTGTGTGTTGCTGATTGACCCGACGCTCTGGAAGTCAAAGTCATTGAATGCTGTTCTCTTCAAGGGACCAAGCTAGATAACCATTGGTTCATGTAGTGAGATTGAATTATTATTCAGAGATGTTTAATGCATATTTAACTTATATAATGTATTTCATCTCATGTCTTCTGTCACAAGATTATAATTAATTCTGTGGCCTAAAACCCACCTGTGCTACCTAACACCGTGAAGCTGGCGTTGCTGCCGAAGGTTCAGGGCTCTGTGCTCACTTGCGCGCGCACACACACACACGCACACACACACACACACACACACACACACACACACACACACACACACACACACACACACACGGAGGTGTGCTCGTGGGAACGTTGGAGAAGAACTGCCAGGAAATGTCTTCTGTGTAGATAAGTGATAGCCACCATGGGGAGAGGACTCTCAGTAGCGGCAGTCAGCTCGAGGTCACTGTCTAGGGGAAAGAGTAGCTGGTCCCTGTGCTGTCTGTCTTTCTCTGCTCCTCACCACCACCCACACTTCAGCACCCATGCCCCAGTGTGGTCCTGACCTTCCCAGGCAGCCCTGACTTGGAGTCAGGGCGAGAGAGGCAGGCAGCAGAGGGGCCAGGGAGAGGGAGCCAGCTCGGTGGGGCCGGGGTGTGCTGGATGGTGCTGGAGGGGCTTCAAGAGGGACTGTGGATGAGCCGTCAAGTAGTGATGGAGAGCTTGACTGTGAATTAATTTTATGCCGTAAAAGACCAATCCAATTCTGTTTGACTATGTAGCATCTTAAAAAGAAAAAAAAAAATAAAGCCCCCAAATTAAGAGATCTTTTGTCATTTTGTCACTTTTGCCAAGTGGGTGGGGGGTACTTACTATTTTTATCATTATTATTTTGTCATTGGAAGGTTGATTTAAAAATGACCCCTATCAAAAAAGAAAAAAGACCCTATGGATGAGAAATACATATGTTTACATGTGGAACACTCTTGGTAAACATTGAACAGGCCTAGTTCCCAACCACAGACCCATCACATGAAGCTGTGGAAGCCCGGCCAGCGGTTATAAGTTGGTCTCCAGTGTCTGTTCCATGTGGACCCAGGTACTTAAGAAAAGGGGTGAGAAGAATGAGCAGGGAAGTGTATGCATTCTGCCATTTCTGCTCAGTGTAGCAGAAATGGTTAATCTTTAATGGTTAATCTTGCAGCAGGTTAATCTTTATGTGATTAATCTCCTACAACTCCTGGCCTTGAAAGGGTAGTGATTAGGAGCACTTCCCAGGTGTCTCAGTGGTAAAGAACCTGCCTGCCAATGCAGGAGCTCCCAGAGACGCGGGTTCAATCCTTGGGTCAGGGAGATTCCCCGGAGGAGCAAATGGCTTCCCACTCCAGTTTCTTGCCTGGGGAATCTCATGGACAGAGGAGCCTGGCGGGCTGTAGTCCATGGGGTCGCAGAGAGCTCGATGTGACTGAGCACGCATAGATAGTGCCTGTGGGTGTAGTGCAGCCCCATTTCCTTAGAGCAGGAGTCGGAAGACTTCCTTCAAGGAGGTTGCTGTGTGTGCCAATAAAACTTTATTCACAAGAACAGCTGCTGGGATGTGGCCCGTGAGACAAATTTGCTGGTGCCTGTATCAAGTGACTTACGTTCTCAAAAAGAGTGCATGGGGAACCTGTGTTTCAGGTGTTTAAAAATGACTCAGTGTTTTGTGTACATCTCGAAAAAGGAAATCCACATCTCAGAGGATGTGGGCTATTTGTGTGTAGCTAAAAATCAAAATTTAAAATCCAAGGTTGTCTCTTCTAACTAATCATCTGATTAAACCTATTTTCATTTTAGGGGTTAGGACTTGGTGAACACCTGTTTGTTGAACTTTCTGATTGAGTGGAAGAAGGGAAGGGAACCCCCACCAGGGAGAGAAGGGTAGTGATGGGAAGACCGGACCTCACGTCAGTGACCCTGGTCAGGGAAGAGCATGTCAGGAGAGGAGGACGTATGTGGAGCAGGTACTGCTCTGGTTCATTATTTTAAGAGCCAGGGACACTCACGATCTTGAACCTGGAAGAGTGTGCAGATTTGGGGTGTCTTTTCTGGAAATTGAGAGTGAGGCAGGTAGATGGATGTGTGGTCCTGCCGTAGACTGTTCTGTTCTGAGCTGGTGAGAGTCAAGTCATTGGAATAAACTGGCTTGGAACTAGCTAGGTTAGAGTGTCAGCTGGGAAGGGTGGCTGGGCAGGCACGGTCGGGCTGCTCCGGTGCCTGCAGCCCTCGTTAGTGCTCATAGCACCTGTGAGGGCAGTGCCCTCCCTGGTTTAGAAATATCTGCCCCCGAGCTCACAGATACAAAAGCGATTGCAAGCAGTAAGAGGGTCCCATAGATTTTTATTGATTGATAATTGATCATTTAGGCTCCCTTGGCACCATACGGAATACCTCTTAAGGACCAGCAGGCTGTGTTATTTGTAGGCATGAGGACCTGGCTTTAATTTGTTTTTTTCTTCTCCTAGTTTGCATGTTTTCCTTCTCTCTAGTCTTCTAAACTGCCAGCACCAGCGGTAATAAATACTGATAAAATCAAAATTGATTTTTACCAGTGGACAGTTTATGCCTAGAGAGACGGCTTATACCTACATAACACAGAAGGGGGAAAAAATGAAGAACCTCCAGTGATCCGTGAAAACCTAAACGCTTTCAAACAAAATCCCAGGAAAAGAATTGCTATTGGAAAGTATCGCTACTGGACTTGCAGGCTGTGTTGAGTCAGATATAACTGAATGCAGTGATAGCTCACAGCTAAATAGCCTTTCAAATTAATTTGCAAACAAGCTATGTGTGTGTAGCATATATACCATATGTAAGTAGCTTAACATTTTTCAAATGGTGTCTATTTTTTTTGCGCACAAAAATATATTTGCAAACTCAGAATTCATGCCAATATAGAATGCTGTTTATCATTTTCAGTTCCTTTTCTATAAAGAACTGGCTCATTTACAAGTTCTTGTTTATGGTTTGTGAAATAGTTGATAAAAAAAATGCCAAGAGAGGTGGATGTGGACTTGAAAGTCACCTTGAACACTTGAGTAACATCAACATTGGCAGGTGGAGAGGCCACTGCACCCCGTTGGTGATGGCAGTTCACTGACAAGCGTCTTGCTGGGGCCCTGGGGCAGGAACGGCTTGTCTCATGGCCCCTTCCTGTTGAGGTTGTGGGGCTGGAGCAGGAGGAGCCCGAAGTCTTATATGAACTCACCAGAGTTCCCTCTCTGTGGAGACCTGGCGCAGTGAACCTTGAGTGGCAATCACTGGTGCTGAGATGTGAACAGGAATGGGGTTGTGTTCAGGAGGTCCACCACACTGTTAGATGGACGACTCCAGCTCGGCGAGCAGGTCCCACAAGACCAGAAAAGGCACTCAGGACCCCCTGTGCCCCATGAGAAGTGGGGTCCCTCAGAGTTCCCGGCCTGGTTGGATTTGGAGAAAACTCTCTCGTTTGTTTTTTAAAAGCCTTCTTCAGACCTTCTCTGATAGCCTTGCAGGGAAAGTCGCTGTTGTTAGGACACCCTCCCCACCCCGTGCAGAGCATTTCCTCTATGCCCCCTCATTGACTCAATCCTCATGACAACTGTGATACATCAGAGAGCGAGGGTTCTGTTTTGCACAAGAGGAAATGAAGCTTCCAGGAGGTTAAACGGGGCAACTTCCTAGAACCTCTAGTTTGGAACGAAGTCAGTCTCTGGGAAGCCTCCTGCGAGGGCCTAAATCTCTAAGACGCTGTTTCAGCTGCAAAAACCCCTTAGAGGGGCAGTGAGAAAGGCCTCAGTGAATTAGCGGGGGCCCACCTCGGCACCACGGGCCCTTCATGCACCTTGTCTGTGTTTGCCTTTATCCCTTCTGTGGTTGGTTTTACATGTAAAGTAGACGGAGTCAGGACTGTCATTCCGATACTTCTTTATTTTTCTTTTGGAAACTAAACACACTTCAGACAGTAAAGAAAGGTGCATTTTCCATTTTCTTATTGCCTGAAGATCGCTGCGTGATGCTCCTGGGGAATGAATTTGGGGGCTTGAGAAAGAAAATGACTAGTCTGTCTCACAAGGTGATGATGAGGCTTTCCGTGGAGGCTTTACATAACTTGTAAGTGAAACGTGAAGCAAAAACCGGCATCACAGAAGAGGCCTGCTGGGGATTACAGCAGCGTTGCTGCTGGTCCCAGACCCCTCCGGGAAATCAATGAAGGGGGCCGCCACAGCAGACCCCACTAAAGCACATCAGCTGACAGGCAGGCTGGGGAGGCTGTGGAAATGCATCCCCAGCAAGATAAATTCACTAACCCACTTCCTCCTGAGTCTGATCTCATCAGCCGCATACCTGGCGCACACAAGACTCGGCCTCCAGGAACATCAGTTAGGGTGCACAAGGTCCCCCACCCCCGAGTCGACAGACCCAACCTCCCTCTGTCCACTGTAACCCCACCGTGAAAAGCAAAGATTTCACTTTTATTGTCATTACAGAGGTATTTTGAAAAACTTAGAAGACATGAACACACACAAACAGTTGTAATAGTTAAAAGTGAAGCTGGCAGAGGTGGGTGAGCAGTTGTCTCAATGAATATAATTATTT